ACACAGGACACTTAGTGCTTCAAAGGGAGTCGGTCTTTGGCCTCAAAATATCAGATTTCTTCCCTGGGGTTTACAATCCTCTCATTTCCTGTTTTTCTGAATAAAAGTTCAAAATCTCCTTGGCAGTGATTTTAAAACAACAGTTTTCAAGGCGGTCTGAAAATACTGGCTATTTTGTTCAGACGACTATCAAAGATTCATGGTCAGTTATTCCATCCATGCATGTCTCTCTCTGTACCCCTCTCTCTGTCTGTCTGTCTCTCTCTCTCATACACACACACACACACACACACACACACACACACATGCAATCATTCACTCAACATTCAGAATTTCTGTTGACAACTCAAACCTGTCTGCAGCCAGGGATCTGACTGAGGAGACGGACGATTGGGAATTAACTGAGTGTTCAAATAAATTATTCTGCACTGAAGGTCTGTATCATGAAGGGTCTCCAACCTGTTTAGGGGTGTGCTTGGCACTACCAAGGCATAGTTCTATCAAGTGGTGACTGAAGCAATTCTTTCTGACCGAGTCACCAGGTGGGTAAAGGCATGGAAATATATCTTTCCTTTCTTGCAGGAATACCTGTCAAATGGACCAGCAGTGGGAATTGTGTGTTGAAAAAGAGGCAACAACAACTCACTTCTCAGCTAATTCTGACATGTAAAGCTTGTTGCATACACAGCTCCTGGAGGGCACCCCCTGGGCTCTGACTCCACACTGAGAATGCAAAAACAGGCTTGAGGGTTTCACACTGTCAGCAAATCCACATCTTGAGAGGGCAGCAAAGGCAGACTTGGGGTCTTCTGGAGCTCTTATTCCAGCTCATGTGCAGGGGAGACAGCCTGACCCTGATGCTTCCTTACCTCAGCCCTGTCCAGGTGCACAAGGTGACTTCAGGTAACCTTGTCTAGGCCATACTCCTCCCACCTAACCAAAAATGCCTTCCCCAGGATCAAGTGCATTATGCCTAAGAATGACTGCTCTTATCAGGCTCCTTGGCTCCCCTGCATAGTGGCTTCTATAGAATAATCCTTGTGCTTTACCAAGACCTAGCCTGTTATTTCTGAACCCGATCAGTGAACATTCACTAAGGTTCTTTCTCAGGGTCTACTCAACCTCCATGCAAACAAACAAGTCCACTTCACCGGTTTCCCAGATGATCCCAGGTAGGTCTTTATCACATTCGGCATTTCTTAAGCATCTGCTAAGTTCTAATAATATACTAAGAACTAAGGCTCTAAAGATGGATATGGGGGGCACCTGGGTGACTCAGTGGTTAAGCATCTGACTTTGGCTCAGGTCATGATCTCACGATTCATGAGTTCAAGTCCCACATTGGGCTCTGTGCTGACAGCTCAGAGCCTGGAGCCTGCTTCGGATTCTGTGTCCCCCCCCCCCCCCACCCCTCGCCAGCTTGTACTCTCTCTGTCTTTCTCTCTCTCAAGAATAAATAAACATAAAAATTTTTAAGATAAATGTGATATGGTGGTATGTATTCTCAAAGAATGTATGCTCTAACTGGGAAGTAAGTCATCAAGAAGGTATTTTCAACACGATAATCATATATTGAGTGACAGAGGCACATCATTGGAGTGATAAGATGTTATGGGACTCTCCTTGTCTTTTCCAAGCAAGGCTTCTTAAGGAGTTGAAGTTTGAGATGCGTTTTAAAGGTGAATAAATGCAGGATGGGTGTCCTAAGGAAAACAAGAGTGCCAACATAATAAAGCTCATGAAGCATAAAAAATAGCAAAGTGTGCACAGGGATTTGAGCTCGATCTGCGCCGTGCCACAGAACTTGGATTTGATCTTGCCAGCAATGAGGAGCCATGGGCAGATTTTTAGGTAAGAGTAACATGTTCAGATTTGCATTACAGATCACTCACTCCAGCAGGGAGTGGCTGGGGAGGGGAATGGGGATGGGAGGGGAACAGAACTATAGAAAATAAGACCAATTCAGAGCTCTTGCTGTAATCCAGACAAGAGATGATAAAGTTAAAACACGAAGGAATGGAGAAGGGGCAAAATCAAGACGTATTTAGGAAATTAAATCAGTGAGACTTGGAGATTTACTGGATGTTGAAGGGTCAGGGAGGGTGGGGAGTCACAAGGGACTTGGGCTTCCAGATTCACTGACTACAAGGATAGCACAGGATACAGGCTGAAGAAGAGGTGTGGGGAGACATCAGGTTCGATTTCGTAGCTCCACTCCACCCCTAACCCTTTGCACTTCTTTTAGGTACGGTTTTACACATGCTGAATGTGAGGGGACCATAGGACCCCTGGGGGAGGTGTTTAGTCCTGGCCTTGACGAATTCACATTCTGATAAAGAACACAGACACGTAGGATCAAAATTTGCCTAGACTCAACTATCTACAATGCCACAGTCCATTATCTACAATTCCAAAATCCAAAGAGTCCAGCAAATCTGAAAGGAATTTTTATTACATAAACTCGAAGTAAATTTATTTGATAGCAAAACTAAACAAAATTGACTCCAGCTCACCATTTAACCCATCAAGTGTGGCCAGGAGTAGGTTCTACGTAGACATGATGGCTCACACTGGAGTCAAGTAACGAGAAAATGAACATTCCCCAGCAGAAAAAGGGTTGAGGTGTGAACCCAGAAAGGGGATAGAGGGCTGGGTAGACCCCACAGGAGGCTATCCAGTATGCTCGTGAGAACCCCCGTGCTGGCAAGATCACGTTATTCTTCCCATTCTGTAGATGAAGAAACTGAGGCTCAGATTTATCTGAAGTTACCCAACAAAGACTCAAATCTAGAATGAAAACCCCTTTCACGAGATAAGGATTTGCAAAGGGACAATGGGACCTGAACCTGTGTTTATTCTTTTTTTTTTTCACCGTCTATTTATTTTGAGAGAGAGAGAGAGAGAGTGTAGAGGAGGGGCAGAGAGAGAGGGAAAGAGAGAGAATCCCAAGCAGGCTTCAAGCTGACATGGGCCTCAAACTCATGATCCCATGAAATCATGACCTGAGCCAAAATCAAGAGTTGGATGTTTAACCAACCCACTGAGCCACCCAGGTGCCCCCCCCTCCCCGCCATGAACTGTTTTTATTCTAAGACTTAAGATCAACTGACTTTCCAGTTCACTTTCTAGCTGTTTCATGTTGATTAAACACCACCTACAGACATGCTTTTCAAACTTGAGCTCTAACTCACCCTCCTCCAGTCCCTGGTTAGGAGCAGAATCTGTTCCAGGAGACTTGCTCTAGAGCAACAAACTGTGATTCTCCCCATGGGAAGAGAAAAGCCACAGAACAGTTCTTAAGTTTAAAAACTAGCAATAGGATCTGTGGAACACGTGGGCAGGTGTATGTGATGTGTATGTGATGGATGGTGTACCTGTGTCTCTGCAAGTTTCACTTCCGGATTCTGTGCACGAAATGTCTAGTAACTAATGGCGGCATGGGGTCCATTCTCCTGAGATTCCATCAGCTGTGCTGCCCTGCCTTGGGTTACAAAGCTGGCCATCTATGCCCCAGTTCCCTTTTTAGAGAAAAAAAGGACAAAGCAATGGCCCAGGAGTCTGGCTTGTTGACTTGTGGACTCATGATACCCCCAGTCCTCCAGCTGCAACTGAGGCCCCTTCAGTGTAATTCTCCCAGCCACAGACCCAGCCCCATGCCAGGCTCAGACATCGGAATTGTCTTCCACAAGGAGACAGGTTTCATGAGTTTCGGCATCCAACCCTTCTCAGGGCTAATGCTGAACTCTCTGAGTCGCTGAATATTCATGCAACTAGTGCTCCTCCCTGAACCCCATTTCCAACCTGGATTCCTGTGCTGGGATCTGTGCATTAAAACTATGCCCAGTGCCCAATTCCTCCAGGACAGAGGCACTTTCTTGCTTTTGTGCCCACCCCTAACCTGGGTTTAGACTCTCACCCTGGTATCTCTCACCAAATCTCACCCCCCCCATGCTATCTTTCAGCCTGCTTTCCTCAATCCTAATTTATATGTGCCGAATGAATTAATAAATTACTAGCTGCTATATGCTAGGCATATATAGACAGTGTCTACCCTAGGGGCCCCAAATTTATTGAAATAAATTCGTTCAAGAATTTAAAATTTTGAATATAATGGAAGAATGAATAAGGTATGGCCAAAATACTGTGGCAAGAGTGTGCTATTTCGGCCTGGAGGATTTCATACAGGGGGTAGACTGTGAGCTGTTCTGGAAGCATGGCTAGTAATCTTCTAAGCAGAAAATGAGAGTACATCCCAGGCAGAGGAAGGAGCCCATGCAAATGCATGTGGTGTGACAATCTCAGAACACTGGCTTCTCCTAGACGCCCCACTGCTGTTCTCTGCACACTCGTGACGTCCCCATTACCTCTCGTGGGAACTTTGGGATGTGACAATTTGCTGACATTGCCACCCTCTCCAGATACCAAGCCCCATCTGGTCCCTAACCGTTCCATTCTCATCTGGGTTACAGGTTATGATAAGGTCAACCTCCCCTTACAGAGAAATGTCCAAAATGACTGGCCTGGCTTTGTTTCAAAGGCTGGTATTTCCAAAGCTTCCCAGGGTTGTGAAAACAATGGTATCTGCCTTTAATGCTGGTCTGTTCTTCTGTCCTTGGAATTGACGATGCCCTAGTCCAGAACAATGGAAGAAACGTCTTCCTCTTTTTTCTCCCACACACCAGCTTGCAGGCCTTGGCCCCAAACCTGACCCTCTGAGCAGACGAATTCAGGTCCTCTAAACCCCAGCATCAATCAATAATTTTCTAGTGCTACCAAGGACACTGGCTTGGTGACTGCAGGAACATGGGCCCTTGTCCTCTTTGTAATTCTTGAGTGTGGTTGTTTTCTCCAAGGTTTTGGAAAGCCTAGGCAGACCATTTCCTCTGTGCTTCCTCCCACCAGCTGGGGGAGAGGCAGGAATGCTGAAAGCTCAGATCAGAATGATCCATTACACCGACTGTCAACGCCAGCCTGCTCCCGTCCCCATGCTGTGGACTCACCTCCAGTAGAAGTGCAGGAACCAGCCTTGGACTTGGAGTGTATTGTGTCTGTTCCCAAGGCACTGCACTGAGCCACGGCCAGGCCGTTGCGACTCCAGGAGTTGCCCTGGAGACATCGTGCCTGCATTCTCTCCCTCCACACGTTCTGTCAATCCATCTCCGAAGGTCAGGTTTGAACCGCAGCACTGAAAACAGTCAAACAAGAGATCGGGTGTCTAAATCAAGCAATTTTTCCTTCCTTGGAAGCAAATTATTGCTGCTAAATTTTACTTATCGTCAGTTCTATTATTTAAATGTTCCGTCTCAGGAACAACGGCAGATGAGAACATCTAGGTAGTGATGTTGCTGGCAGCCTCAGGAGCCCTCCTCCACCTGCAAGCCTGGAACAGGGGAGGGACTGGGGCGGGAGAAGGGGTTCACTTGCCCTGGGCAAGTGTCTAGGGAGAGGAGGAAAAAGGAGGACTTTCTTGTTGCTATTTTCCCCAGGGACAATGGGGGCGGATACGTCCCCAGAATGCTGTCTAGCTCTCAGGTCCTAGCACCCCAGTTGTCCAAGAGTCCTGGTTGTCACCCTCCCGTTATTAAGGAGAGGATTTGTCTTTCGCTACCTCCCCACTTGTGACTAAGTCCGTAACTGGTGCATTCGTTGGACTTCACTGGGTGCTAGATTGCTCTAGACCACCCCTCCTTCTGGCAAAGACAGTTACCCCAAGAGGGGAAAGGACCTGTCACCTCTACAGGTGAGAGCTCACTGGACGTGGAAATCCTCTGTCCCGGCCACCTGGGACATGCATGCACGCTTGCCCATCGATGCAGACACTGCTTCTTTCTTGGCTCCCTGTCCCGCCTCCACCCCGCTCTCCTGAGCTGCCTTACTCTGCAGAGGCTCTAACTGAGTCATGCGCCCAAAAGGTCCTCTTCCTGAGTGCTTATCATTTTCCAAGCACTTCACCTACATTCTCTCATTTAATTCTCATGGCCCTCTTGTTGAGCAAAGTATCCCTTTATGCCCGTTTGATGCATGAGAAACAGGTGCAGAAATGTTGAAGAATTTGCCTGGGGATCACACTTCTAGTGATAAAGCACCCAAAATTCAATCCCAAGTCTGGTCTTGTGTCTGACTCTTAGGCTCTTCACTGTGGCTCTCCAAGATGTTTATATATTATAAAATTCCAAGGTCTATCCAGGAGTCGCTTCTGAAGGTCAGCTATTCATTCAGCGGACAACGTCTTCAACAGGCAAATCCTTCCAGAATGCCTGCTCTGCACCGGGCACCATAAGGACAGAGGAGATTAGTAGGTAGCGTCCTTAGTCCCATTGGGTCCTTTCCACACGGAAGAGGGAGAAGGAGGCTCAGTCATTATCTCTGGAAAGTTTCCAGAAGGCTGACATCCTGAAGATGACTGGTCTGAGATGTCCCCCTCCTAAGGGACAATGGGCAGCAGAGGGAGGTGGGAGGAGGGGAGGACTGTCACTTCAGTGACTGGCACATTGCCCACCCCCCATAGCAGACACTTGAAAAATACTTGCTAGTTCTTAGAATATGATAGATAAGAACAGCAATCACCACACAGAGCAAGAATATGGAGAATTTTGAGGCACGGCTTTTTTGAGAAAAGGTTGGTCAGAAAGAGTCCTGTCAAGAAAAAGATCTGTTTTCCCCCATTAGCCAGAGGGGTGGACACAGGCACCTGGTCTGGACAGAATGCTGTCACTAGAGGGCAGTGGCAGCTTGCTCTTGGGAGTGAAGGAGCCCTGAGTCCCTTCTCCCCCCGAGGAGAAGCCCAGAGCAATCCTGCTGCATTCTAACTCTGCCCTATGCGGGGGCAGGACCTGGAGGTGAGCATGTGACTTTCAGCAGGGAACAAGTGTAACCTTACTTTCCATGACTCATACAATCCTTTCCTTACCTGGGACACCAACAGTAGAGAGACTCGTGGGGTGGATTGACATCATTAGCCCAATTTGACAGATGAGAACAGGAAGATCCTTGAGGTTTAAACTCTGCCCAGGTTGCCTGGCTAATAAGGACACCGTGGGAACAAATGATAGATTCCCTAAACCACAGTTCGGGGCCAATTCCAGGGCCTTTGCGAACAGAGTAAAGTGGGCTAAATTCTTTAGTGAAATTCTCACATCATAATTTTCCCTTTGTCAGCCATTTCCTTTGTTATTTGTTCATTCCCTGGAGGCTTAGGAAGAGACAGAAAAAGGAAATTAAAATCAAAGAGGACAATCAGGTACTTTGTCAGTAGCCTTGATAAAAGTTTGGAACATATTTTCCGCCAAGTGATACTCAGGATCATCCACTCATTGCACTTGACCCCCTCCCATCCCCACTGTTTTTCAAGGTCACGTGCTGGTGACCATGGAGAGTCGTGACTGATTCCTCCAATCGTGGACAGAGAAATACACGCAGATAATGTTGGATACAGAGGAGAAAGGTTCTACAGTCTCTGCTGGGGCTCTCACATGGGAACTGACTAGGTCATCAGCCAAAAATCTGAAGCCAGGCTCATAGGCTTTGTCCCTTACCCCACTTATTCCTGGAACATGGCATATACAAAGGCTGGGCTCATTTGGGAATGTGACTCAAAGCAACGGAGACGGTAGATTCTTTTGGCACAGAGACACAGAGCGAACATGTGAGGAGGGGATCGGGTGAAAATCTACTCACCTTGTAGACATCCAACCTGCGAGAACCAATGGGATGCCTGCCCCACCCAGGGTAGGGCGAGATACAGCTGAATGTCTGCTGAACCTTGGCAGGGGTGGAGGAGAAAGACAGAAAGATCTAAGGACAGGGTATACAGGGTGAAGGAGTGATCGGAGAAAGGAGAAGAAAGAGAAAGTTCAGATGGAATGAGCTGACACACCCTCCCTAGGTGGAGGGGCCATGCGGAAGTACCCAGAGATCCTGACTGACCAGCCCACCCCTGACACTCAACTCTCTGTGCCCTCTAAAGAAATCGGAAGCTGCGGCACAAACCAGGAGGCATGGCTGTTTGAATATATATTCTTTGGGTTCTGCGTGTGTGTAGGGGCAGCCGATGGTAAACCCATTACGAATGCACCTCCTTCTGCTGTTAATAGTGTCAAACTCAGGACACAGCAGAAAACCCTTCTTTTAGGTCTTATTCTGCCCTTCGATTTTTCAGACCCCTTGTGGAACTTGCTTTGCACCAGGTGATATGCTAGTACGGAGGTCACTGAAGCATGGTTTCTACGCTTAGAGAGCTCGTCACTACTGGACAACCCTGACACGTGGCAGACCCGTTTCCACCCAGTGGAGCAGGGTGCGTGCGGTTGCAGAGTTGGGCTCAGAGAACATCCATTTTGCCTGTGCCCGGGGAACAGTGATCAGGGGAGGAGACTTCTTAACGATCCGGCTCAAACAAAAAGATGAGCGCATCGCAGGCTGCGGGAACAATGTAGACCAAGCGGCATCTATTCCTGGAAGTACTAGAAATCTGGTGTCTTATTTTTAAAACAAATAAACACGAAAGTAGCAAGTATTACGTTGATTCATGCCTGCATGCCAGCCTGTCGGTACCGTCCTACAATTTCCATTTATTTCCTCCCTCTCGCCCCCACTTTGGGTGCCCATTCCATTCTCTCTTATCCAACTTCAAGTTGGAAATGTGTTACGAAATAAGTGGTGTTTGTTCTTTGGTGGCCCCTCTCCCCTCTCATTACTCTGCCTGTCACACTTTCAAGGCCTTGGACAATGTTTCTTTTCTTGCTTCACCAGCTGCATTTGGGGCATCTTTCCCTTTTGCTCTTGCTGCCCAGTAACAATGCACTTCTCTCTGTCTCTCCAGTAGGCATGGCTCCTTTCTACCTCAGGGCCTTTCCACAAGCTGTTCTTTTGCTTAACTTTTCACGTAGTTAGTTCTTCTTCCTTCTGAGTCCAGTTTGAAAGTCACTGTCTCCGGGCTTGGTAAGGTCCCCTAACACATATTTTCACAGTGCCCTAAACTGTTCATAGTACTTATTGCATTTGTGATGATCTGTGTTTGTTTAAAATCTGACTCCACGGCTAGAATGCAAGACTCATTAGGGAAGAAACTGCTTATCTCGTTTGTTACTGTATGTTTGGAGCCCAAAATATTGCCCCAAACAGAGTAGTTGCTTAATAAATATTTGTTGCAGGAATGAATGGAAGAATGGATGGACGGAAGGATGGATGGATGGATGGATGGATGGATGGACGGAAGGATGGATGGATGGATGGATGGATGGACGGAAGGATGGATGGATGGATGGACAGATGGATGGAGTTTGCTTTCCCTTCCCTTTTCCACCCTGGCACTTCATTATGTCTTGTCGTCATTTGGGTATCCAAAAAGCTCAATCTGGAGGTCTAATCAAACATAAAAGAGAGTGCAGACCAATGCTCTTTTTTTTAAAAAAAATTTTTTTTTTTCAAACGTTTATTTATTTTTGGGACAGAGAGAGACAGAGCATGAACGGGGGAGGGGCAGAGAGAGAGGGAGACACAGACTCGGAAACAGGCTCCAGGCTCTGAGCCATCAGCCCAGAGCCTGATGCGGGGCTCGAACTCACGGACCGCGAGATGGTGACCTGGCTGAAGTCGGACGCCCAACCGACTGCGCCACCCAGGCGCCCCCAGACCAATGCTCTTTGAAAGAAAAACATTGTTCTGTTCTCATGAGCACACCTCCCTTGTCTCCTCCTTACCCCAAACCATAAGAGGACTCCTTACTTTGTTCAGTTGAAGGGTAAGCATGACCACATGGGAGCAGTGGAGGTGGGCACCCAGTGAGTACACTTGGTCACTTCTCCCTTTGCTGACATCCCCTGTGACAAGCTCAGATGCACACGTCACTTTAGGTGAGAGAAGGATGCTTCCTGGTGAGAATGGGCCTTCCTTCTCCTCTCCTCTACCCCTTTGGTTCAGACCTTCATCTCCGTGACAGTAGAGCCTCCCTGATGACTTTCTAGTCTCTAATTTCTCCCTAATTCTGGCACCCTGACATTGGTGCTTAAGAATCTTGCTTAAGACATCCTTGCTTAAGAATCTACATTGCAGATGGGGCGCCTGGGTGGCTCAGTTGGCTAAGCGTCTGACTCCAGCTCAGGTCATGATCTCACAGTTGGTGAGTTTGAGCCCCGCATCGGGCTCTGTGCTGACAGCTCAGAGCTTGGAACCTGCTTCGGATTCTGTCTCCCTCTCTCTCTGCCCCTCCCCTGCTCACGCTCTGTCTCTCTTTCTCTCTCTCTCTCAAAAATAAGTAAACTTAAAAAAAAAATCTACAGTGCCTCTGCTGCCTCACAGCCAAGTCCAAAGCCTCAGTCAGGCTGCTCAAACACCCTCCTGGGCCAGCCTTGTCCCCCATGCACTTGTCCCCCGTGCACTGCAGGGCCACCCTGTCATTTCCAGCATGCATCTTACATATTCCAGCCTCTGTATTTTCCCTAACCCCACCCCACCACATCTCCCACATCCGGTCCTAGTCACCTTTAAGGACCAGGCTGACTTCCGTGACACTTTTCCATGAAACCATTCCTAACGCCTCCAACCCCCAGCTCTCCTGCCAAGGCCCCGTCCCTGGGGACAATGTGAGGTAATCGTACCTGATGCAGCGGTTGATTCATCTCCAGTTGTTTTCTATGCCTTGCCTCCTCTACTGGGCACAGAGTTGATGTTGAATAGACACTCAGTTGGACTGCTGATTAGAGAAACCATAGAGACAAGGCCATTAAAAGAATCTGAACCAGACAACGTTGCAAGCATGTGTGAGTGTGCACATGCGTGTATGTGTGCCCAAGTACACGTGCATTCTCACGCCCCAGTCTCTCTTCTACCTCCCTGGAACACATTCCTGAATGGATGCCCCTCCAGTTCTGTAGCCACCTGTGCTACTGCTCCAGCCATGGATTCTTTGCCCCTGCTCCCGGCCTCTGATGTCCAGCATATGGCCTGGTCAGTACCTGCGAGGACATCTACCTTTGGAACTCAGCATAAAGAGGTAACACTTTGTCCCATGGCACCCAACGTGGAACCCATTTCTATTTCCACAGCTGAGAATTCACCTCTGGCTCTGTGGCTCACCAAGGCCAGCAGTGTGCAGGTGGATGGAAGGAAAGGGGAAGAAGAGGGAGGGTTCCAGGGGGCTGGTGCTGACCAGCAAGCAGTTCCTTGCCCAATTCAAACTTGTATCAGCGCGCATTACGTAGCACAGACTTGGCTGGTTCGTGTGCTTGGTTGGACAGCAGTTCTAGGAGTGTAGAGTCTGGGTCTGGTTTTGTGTCCCCAGTACCTAGTACGTGGTCAGTGTTGATAAACATTTAAGGAATGAGTGCATGCGTGCCTGTGCTGAAGAAGACTTCAGTCCCCTATGGAGATAAACTTTCTAACACATGTTGATGCCCAAGGGCATTACTTGACTGTTTCAAGCTGTGATGAACTCCCCAGTTCCAGTGTTCAGACAGGAGGAAGACAGCTGCTGGACAGGGACACTGTACCCAGGGAATCTAAGTGGTGGAAACACAGGCTAAAATTCAAGGCAGAAAAAGATTAAGGACAACGAAGAGCTGTAGACAAAGTTTTGGGAACTGCACAGAGGAAGGAGTGACTAGTTGCAAGGAAGTCGGGAAATCATGGAAGGCTTCGCGGATGAGATAGTATTTGATGAGGATTTTTAAAATCTATAGCATTTCCATAGGCAGAGAAGGAGGAAAGGGCATTCTATATTGATAGACCAGCACAAGCGAAGGTCAGGAGCGCTGGGTAAAGCGGTGTGTCAGAAATCAGGGTCTCGGATGCAAAGCTAGAGAGTTAGCTGGGTGGATGGAGGGACTCAAGGGAGAGAGGACAGTTTTGTGCCAGATCCTAGAATGCCTTCAGTGATAGGCCAAGGTGTTTGGACTTTATCCTGTAGGTAATAGATCTTTTTTTTTTTTTTTTTTTGAGGTAAAAGCAATATGTTTTCTTGAGATAATTCTAGCAAGAATGAAAGTTGGATTGGAGGGAAAACAGTATTAGTCCACATTTACTGAGTCTTTGTCATCTGCTAGTCACTGTTCCAAGCAACTGGCATTCTGTCTCACTCCACCCTACCAGCGTATGAAATAAGTTCACAAATTATCCCATTTCACAGGTGGGGAAACTGAGGCACAGAGAGGTTAAGTCACTTGTCCAAGGCCACACATCCTGTCAACGGACAATCCAGGAGTCTAACCTAGAAGACTTCTCCAGAGCCACTTTTAGGTATCTCAATTGGCCACCTCCCCCAGGGACCAGTGAGAGCCTAATCTATCACAATAGTACCAGAGAGAGGAGAAGGAGGGCCTGAATTAAAATTGTAGCAATGAAGATATAAAAGAGGCAGCATTTACTTACTTTTTGTGTGAAAAGGATAGCAGGGAATATCTATATCTATCTATTTATAGCTATATCTACATTCCATATTCTACAGAATATATTCTATATTCTTTTACTTGCATCCACATGAAATACTGGAGTGATAGACAAGAAACCAATAAGAGTGGCCACCTATAGAGGGCAGGGCGGGTGGGGGGTGGGTGGGCCGGAAAGGGTGGATGGGAAGGGGAAACACCTCAATGCATATCTTTTATTTCTTTATTTTTATTTTTTGATATATGTCTTTTAATATAGTTCTGATTTCTGACCCCTATGAATGTGTTATTTGTTCAAAAAACACAAACGAGGTTAAAAAATTGAAAAGGCACAATTTAAAAGCTAATTTAAAGGAACAATTAAAAGTGCATAACAGCTGATTGGATTTGGAAGGCAATGAAAGAGACAACACAGTCAAAGAAAGTGACTGGGACCCTACCTTGAGTGTTTGGGAAGATAGTAGCTCCACAGCCTAGCTGGGGAGACAGGGGGAGAGGGGTCTGAAGAAAGCTCTTACATGTTCAGGATTATTTGTGGATGGAGTTGGACATCTGGATGTCAAGGTTAAGGTCAACAACCCAGACGGGGTGTTGACTTGGGACATTCACATGATGATGGTAACAGACTCTGTGAGTGGATGTTAGGATTAAGGGAAGAGGAGGGAAAGAGAAAGCAAAGGGCAAAAGACGGAAGTTCAAGGAAACTTCACGGAAAGGAACAGCCCAAAGGAGGCTGAGATGGTCAAGAGCAGGATGGAGAGGTGAGTAAGGGGGAACAGAGTCAGCTAGAGTTTCCAGAGGAAAGGGAATGATCTCCTAAGGTCTAATGGGATAGGACTGAAAAGAGGCTGGTAGGTTTTGGGATCAGGATGCTATGCTTCTAGAAACAGGGGAAGATGATAGATCAGAGAGTTGGGGTGGGGCCATGCAACAGAGGGTCCCCTGCTTCTCTTCCCATTCTGTAAGAGACAACTGGACACAGAGCGGTCTTCAGTCCCTACATTTCGATCCAAGTAGATATCCTCTTGGTCGGGAAGGTGTTTTTAGACAACACTCCGGCAACTGAGTGGTTAAAAAAGAAACTGAGGCAGGCAGTCCTAGAAAGCTTCTCTAATGTTCTGTTATCACCCCATCCAGGCCAATGGAAACCAGTAATTTGCAGTTTTGTTTCTGCTTTCTCTCCTTGCTCCCTTGCCATTACACACATCAATGCAAACACAATTACACACACGCACACACACACGCACAGAGGGCATAAAAGGGCCCTCTGCAAAAGCATTTTTCTGGATCGGACTCAATGCTGCTTGGAGGGAGGGAAAGCAAAGCAGAGGAAAGGCAGGAGAGACGCAAGCCACCATAGCTACTTTTCCTCCCCTTTAAGACTGCCTGGTTACGGTCCTGGGAAAGAAAACCCCTGCATTCCTCCCCTTTAATTCGGTTTATTGTTAAAGCGCTGGAGCAGCTAATCCTCACAGACCTGTAGGAGCTGGAGTAGCAGCACCGGGAGCACCATTCCTTCCGAGTCTTCAGGTAAGATGAACCTGACTCTTTTCTCGGTTTTAGGAGGTTTCCTTGCTTAAGGGGAGGCATGTGGCACCTAGAGATGTGGCAGAAGAGCCACCTTTGCAAGCAACTTGGGTATTTTATTCATTTCTGCCCCATTTCCAGGCTTGCCTGACTCTCGTGGTATCAAGGGTAAGTTGTAGCTGCCTTGGAAAATAAGTCTGAACGGGGCCCAGGTGGAACCTCCGTGCAGAGCCATCTGCCATCACTTCGGGGTTGGCTTGAGGGGGAACCTTTTGCACTTCTGGGCAGGGAAAGGGGGGCAAAATATCTGTATATGTCCCTCCTGCAATGCCTGTCTGCAGGCTGCATTCTAGGGACAATCCTCGGGGCTCTGTGGCTGGGAGGGGCTGTCTGTCTGCGGGGGTGTCAGGACCTCCAGCGAGCTTGCAACCCTGCCTCCTGCTCAACCTTCATCTCTTAACCTCTCTGACCCCATCTGTCAAGGAGCAATGCGTTCTGCCTACCTGTCTGGGCTGTCGTGAGCATTAAGAGAGCCAGTGGGCAGAAAAGGCAGTTTGTAAACAGCCTGTGGCTCTGCAAACCCCAGGAAAGCGGGCCAGCCTCAGTCCCTCCTGGCGGGGTCCACCGCCAGGCGCCAGCTCCACGTCCCGCCTGGGCGGCTTCAGGATGCAGAACTCATTGCTGTCAGTCACGAGACTGCTCCTTCACCTTCCCCAGGGGCGCTTCTGTCTCCCTTCCGTCTTGAAACTTCCCCAGTTGCGCTGGCAGGTGAAGACGTTAAAAGAAGGTCTGATTGCTCCACCACCCCCATCCGCACTGTGGCCCCTTCTCTCCACGTAACTTTGACGCACAAACATTAACCCCGAAGCTCCCGGAGGCAGCGGCCAGGGCTCGCGCTGGTCTGGCGGTAGTGCATGGCTGGCCAGCGGCTTGCTCTGGAGCCAGATAAACTAATCATGAGAAAAAATCTCTGAGGAGGAGGGTCAAAGAGTCGAGCGGGGTTCTCCTGGGTAAGGAGATGATCTTTCCCAGATCAGAGGCCGGAAACAGCCCAGCCCCGGGCAGTTCTTTTGACCCACGCTTAACCCCGGGGCCAAAGATGAGCTCCAATAGGCCATGACACAAAGTGCTTAGTAATACCTGGTATGGGAACTGCGCTTTACAGTTTAATGTAAATGTGCTTTTAAGCTACTGGCTTTAGGGCAAGCCCATCGAGCTGGTGGGGCAAGTAAATGTTCTCCCTTAGTATGGATGAGACTCAAAGAGGCTTGCCTGGGGTTGCAAAGCTGGATATTGGTGGTATCTGGTTAATGACGGTGGCGTTTGACCCCAGAACTTCTGACATCATCAGTGACCTCTCCATGATACCACAGATAGCTATGGTGTATGGGGTGGGGGACAGGTGTGGATGTGCGTGTGTATTAAGAGCACTCCTGAGAGAGACGGGGCAAAACTTGGGGAAAGAAGCCTGAGGTGCGAGCGACAAGAGGTTTGAGCTGGAGGCAGGAGAGGCAGTAGATGGCCCGGCCTCAGTACCTTTCTCAGATCATCCAAGTCACCTGTTCCCCGGGGGGCTCAGTCAGGAGCTGGGTGCTGGGGTTGCATGAAAGCACCCCAAGGGTGGAGCCCGGTAAGTGAAATCGGATAATCACCTCCAGGAGAGAGGCAACAGGTTTTGTGGTGGCTCTCTGATGGACGGGGGCTCCCAGGCCAGCTCTGTCACATACTATCTGATTTGGGGCATCCTGCTCAACATTTCTAGCCATCAGCACCGCAGCTACCTAACGGGCCTCATGACACCTCCCCTAAAGGTGACAGTGAGGCCGAGGGGAGGAGGGGAGGCAGGTGAGGCGCTTGCAAGGTGCGGCTGCCAGCGCTCAGCAGGCACCCTGCGAGGCCGGGGAGTACTTGGGGGCAGGGGGCTGGGACAGGAAATACTGGGGGGGGGGGGGGGGGGGGGGGGGGGGGGGGGGGGGGAGGGGATCCCCCCCCCCCCCCCCCCCCCGCCCAGGCAGAGAGCGCCGCCCTCGATCCCTCTCCCGCGCTCACACACGCGCACGCGGCTAGAATAAACGCCCCGCTCAGCGCGTGCGGTGCGGCTCCCCCCCCACCCCGGCGCTGCCAGCCCGCCCAGTGAATGAGCTGCGGCATGAATGAGACGGCGGCCGCGCGCGCGCGCTACAACCGCAGGCGCGCCCCCGCGGTCACCAGCGCGGGGGGTGGGGGGGGTGGGGGGTGGGGGGGTAGGGGCTTGGGGGCTGGGGCCCGGCGGCAAGTGCCCCGCCCTGCCCCGCCCCGCCCCGCGAGCGCTGCCAGCCGGTCAAGCCCGAGTCCCGGGAGGCAGGGCTGGTCCCGCAGAGCATCCTGCCACAGCTCGCCTCGTGCACCCCTTCCCGGGGCGGACCGTGCCTGGCGGTGCCAGGAAGGAGCCCTGCACCTGCACAGAGGACGCACCTCTTGCACGGGTCTGGCTTTAAGGGCCGCGTGTGGCAGATACACGGTCACCACCATTCCCCCTGGAAACTCCTTAGAAAGGTGCCCCAGAGAGACCAGCATAAACCCTTCCCAGGCAGCTTCCCAGTGTGGCCTCAGAGCTCTCTTCTGCTGGTTCGGTACCAGATGAAGTAGTGGGTTTGCATTTCAAGACCGTGCTGTATGAAAAATTGGATACTTTCAAACACTTTAAAATCACCGTGAGATGAGATGTCCACACGGTGAGACGCACTTGGGAGCTGAGACCAGTTAGGGAGCAGTGGATTCACGTCTCCTCCTGCGTGTTCGCCTCTATTTAAAGTGCTTTTGTTTTCCTCTCTTTCCCGGCCGGTGCATGGTGTTTAATTCATGTGCCTATAATGTGGGCCCGCTGCATGGCATCGTCGAGGCTGCAGAATGATTCTGTTGTGCCCACTGACGCCACGGGAGTGCTGAGAACTAGAGCAGGGATCATTATTCCTGTGCAGCAGATGAGGAAACTGAGGCCCCCTGTGCTTAGGAGCACATCGGGAATCAGGAGCACCCCCTACTCTCTCCAGTGACTCCATGTGTTGACCTCTCAGCCACTAAGTGAAGCCTTGGAGCGTGTTCTTCATTTATTTTATAAGAGGCACACGGTAAACCTTAGGCAACATGTGGATTCTGGCTTGTCACTGCAGGAGGACGGACTTGGTTAAACGTAAATGTGGGTTTGAGCCTGAAATAAACTGCAGGAGGCAATTGAAAAACATCCTTCCTCCGTGATTTTGTGAACAGAAACTGGCACGCAGAGTTGGCCCGTGAGACGCAGGCCTAGTGGGAGCACTAGGGATGGAGTCCATACTCCTCAGAGGTTCTGTTCTGCCAGAAGTCTCCAGGAGGCTTGCAGGTTCGGGGCTTGGGCTCTGGAAAACTGACCAGCCACTTGAGCTGCAGCCCATGAACTGGGCCTGACAGCCACCCAGGCCCAGCTATATGCCTGTGACATCATGAAGTGGTATGGCTGAAGGCAGCAGACTGCTGGAAATTTCTTATGGCTAAAACAAATGGAGAATCACAGAGTATCAGAAATAGCCAGTTACCCCATTTTCCAAAGTAAGCTTGGGCAACCCTAGAGTCCCTGGATGCTAGCAGATGTCACAAAAGGAAAGTTTCACAATCTCGTAAGTTTGGGGCATGACAGGTTAAACAGCATTAACCGAGGGTGTGTAATAGTCCTCAGAGCCTTTCATAAGCTAATATGGGTCGTGAATCTTTAAAGAAAGGGCAGCAAACCCGCTTTGCACACAAAGAATCTTCTGGGACTAGTATTTTAAAAAACAAACTTCAGGAAACCTTTGTCTGTTCCAATCTCTTTTCACTAAAGAGAAATGTGGAAGCCCAGAGATGTACAGTGACTTCCCTGGGGCTGCACAGCTTCTCCGTACCAAATCAAAACTGGAACCAGAACTTGAGCTCTTTCTAATGTCCCTCTCAATCCAAAGGATGACGCAAAGTCCAATATGGGCCAGAGCCCAGGAGATGGGGGGGGGGGGCGGGGGTGGGAATCAGGGCAAGAAAACAACCCAGCTTTATCCTTTCAGCCCCTTATAACCACACAGTTTATACATTGCCATGGCTCCATGTGCCCCAGCCTGGAGGCAGAGAGCACACTCTTATTAAAGATGATCCAACTGATAACCTCCCTCCCAAGACCCACAGGCCTTTCTGAGTCATGCTCCCAAGAAATGGAAAGCCCTGTATGCAGACCATAAAGCGGTCTTAGGGTGGCCTGGTTCCACTGAGGTCAGTAAAAGAGCCACACATGCCTCACCATGCCCCGGAGTGACTTATACCTGCTTGCTCAGAAGCCCCAAGTGAGAGCATAAGCAAAGGTACAGTGACTCTTCCCCTAGGTAGAGTTGAGAGCCATTATCTGTGGGTTGAAGGCTGCAGACGTGCTGCTCCAAGATCCCCTCCTTCCCTGTCCCCATCTCCTCTAGGTTGCTCCTGTCCACTTTAGGAACCCTACTGTGGCTTTGGGAAACACATGGAGTTGAATTGAATTGAATTGAATTGAATTGAATTGAATTGAATGCCTGGCATCTTTGGGGACTGGTGATGGCAATGAGGAGGTCATTGAAAATAAGCCTCATCTGCCTTAGAGTTCTGTCTGGTGCTAGTGTTGTTCCTGTGACCAAATGGAGCATGGGAAGGAGAGAAGGGCAGCGATGCTCCATGAAGGAAGCATGAGAAGGGCACCTGCCTCCTGGGCTCACAGCCCGAGCATCTCTCACCAGCACCTCATAAACAGCCAGGCTGGATGCCACCACGGATCACACAGCCTGTCCCCAGAAGCACCAGAAAGGGCTGCATTCAGAGGCGGCATCCAGCCCAGGGCTACCCTTTAGGAAGAACTGTTCCCTCTGCAAGCTCCTCCCCAGCTGTGTCCCCCAACAGACCAGGAAGACCATCTGAAAAAACTACGAGTGAGCACGACCTAGGAGCCAGGCGCTGCGCTAGGCCCAGGGGAGACAAGGAGATGGGCAAGGTCTGGTCCACATGGAGTTACTTTCTAGTGAGGATATGACCTCACACAAAGGAACAGGAGAGTTTCAGATTGTCATAGGTCTTGCTGCAATGTCCTAAATGGAGCCTCGCTGAGAGAACTTTAGAGAGGAGGCCCTACTGCCTTTTCTTCCCCAAGTACAGGTCTTCTTGCTGAAGGTCTGTTTCTAGAGCAAGGTAAGGAATCTGTCTTCCCACCTTGCACTAAGCCATTTTAAGTCCAGCTCCCTGATCAACCCACCTGGGCTCTCCTCTTCACTAAATCGCGTATCAAATGCATGCTGGACCTTGGTGTATGCCAGGCTCAGTACTAGGCACTAGGGATTCCAGTTGAGGAACACATGTCCCCTGCCCTGGAAGCACTCACAGCCTGGTGAGGGACTTTCACACGTCCGCCGTCAATCTGCAACTGACCTCTGAACCGCTTTGGCTCCGAGCAATGAGCAGTGTGTGCATTCGTTTGCCTCTCCCCTGGACTGGTCCGTGTTTTTAGTTGCTTATGTACATACCTAGGCTTGGTCTTTCCACCTTGATCGGAAGAACTTTTAAAGGTAGCTTCCTGTCATAGAAATGTCCGTGTTTAGTGCCCTAGGTACACAGGAGGTACTCAATAAACGCTTGTTGATTGAAGAAGTGTTACCCTCACAATTCAAAGATGGCCCCATGAGTAAGGTTGTTTCCTTCGCCTGGAGTCATTTTTGCAAAATATCCCTGAGGGTCTTGCCCTGTTGAGGGAGCGGGGGTCATGGATGCCAACCCCGACCGCGACCCCCAGCTACACGTGGGAAATCAGCTGTAACCCTGCAGTGGCTGTTCCTGAGCTTTGAAGCCCAGTGGAAGTCTTGGCCCAAAAGAGAGAGGTGCAAGTGCTTTGGGAACAAATAACAGCAATATTGGGGCTTCAACCTTCTCAGTATGTGTTTTCTTTTCCTCTGAAAGAACCTAGATTACAGGAGTCAGGGGAGAAGGGGGAGGACTTCAACGGAAAGAAGCAGGACGCGGAAACAATGTGGGCTGCCCCTCTAGGAGCCCAAGGTTAGACCTTCACCGCGCGGGGCACGGGGCCTGGGGACTTCTCTGAGGTCCGGGAGGGGCGGGAACGACCGGGGGTTTCAGATCCGGGCCCCCCGAGTTTTCCACGTTGCTCTGAAGATGGAACTAAATTGTTGGGATTGAGTGTATGGGAGGAGGGGTGGGCGGGAAAGATGTTTTCTTATAGCCTGGCTTAGCTAAGAATACTATGTTTTTAAGCTATTTAAGAGAGATGGGAGAGAGGGAACAGGGAGTACAGATCTGCTAGTGAGGTGGTTGGCGGAGCCTCCCTGAGGGCGGGCCGTCATTCCACGGGGCTCCAGCAGGGGGAGACATGAACGCCCAGCCAATGGTCCCCGAGCTGGAAAGAAGATTCTTGATTGGCTCCTTACCTGGAAAAGCAGCACCCCGCCCCCAGCCCTGCGGGTCTGTGGAGGGGAGAGAGACAGAGAGGGAGACAAACAGACGGACCCTCTTGATATGGCTCCTTTTAACGTCCACCCCTTTGCCCTCACCCCTTACATCCTTCAAGACTTCCCAGCTGCAGTGTATACAATAAGAAGCACTTGGTCCGAGCCCAGATGCCACCCAGTCTGATAAGTGGAAGCCGCCAGATTTGGGGCTAAGAATCTGCAGAATGGTATCTGGCTAAAGATAGCCCTCTATTCTAATATTTCATCTTCCCTAAAGCAGTCTGCCAGTCAGGGTTCATTTATCTCCCTGCCTTGTGGACCGTGCCCTCCAAATCAAGGGTCAGGCCACCACTGCATGGCTGGTGGGGCCCCCCCCCCCCCCCCACGGCTAGTGCCTGGGGCCCTGAACTGCTGTGGTCCCTCAGGGCTGCCCCCCTCCCAAGAGGAGCAAGTCCACAAATGGTCCTGAAGATACAAGGACAAACCACCAGATCCACACTGGAATTTCCAAATGCTAAGGATTTCATAACACTTCTCACACGCATTCTCATAATAACAGCCACCAACTAGTATACAGCCAGGTTGCAAATTTACACACGATACTGAAATGTGCGAAGAAAATGTAGCATCTTTATTTCCCGTAAAATCCTTCTCATGAACCCCCACTCTCACCAGGCAGCAAAAGCGGGAAATGGGGAACTTTAAATTTGAATGTGTTCATTATAGCATCTCAGGTTCAACGGAGTCTCATTTAGCTAACTCAGTTTCTTCCAGGAAAACACACAGCCTTGAGCAGCCTTGAGATGGCCTTGCCGCCTCTTACTCTGGTTCAAGGGGGCATTTTGTGTTATAAGGTGCTTACTTGATCTTGCTTGTAGATAGGAGAAGGGGGCCTCAGACTCATCAGGGACCTCAGATCCTAGTTCTCTGGGATCTCACCAGAAGATGACTGTTGACCTCTTTAGTGTGACTGGTCCCATCTGGCCCACCGGGCACCGTGCTGACACCCTCTACTAAAGGCCCAGCTCCCAGCCATTTGTTTCCACCTGAGAAGCCCTGGTTAAGCCTGTCTCTTCTTCTGGACCCCAGGTGACAGGCCCTCTAGCAGCTCTGTGTCCCTTCACCAGGGCCAGGGGCAGAAGTGAGATGACATGTCTGTCGAAGGACTGGTTCTAGAAGGTAGGGGATGAGTGGGGGAGAAGCCCTGATTGTAGCATTTGCCTGTGTCCAGGTGTAAGCACTCCCACTGTGGCTAATTTCAAGCTAACAACATGACGTCACCAAACACAGGGCTAGGGAGACACCCGCAGTCGGCCGTCATGATCTGGAACAAGCTGGCCCCAGCCCCCCACAGGCCCGGGGAGACTTCTGGAGTCCCAGCGGGTCATGCCACCCTGTCTCACTCACCTTCTCCCTCTAGGCCTGCCCCATGATTACTTCCAGCTCTGTTAAATGTGCTTGCACTGGAAGCTCCTCCTACACTTATAGCTTCCCACCAGCAGGGGCCTGGGAAGCCCACCTGTCTGTGTCACCTATCTCTCCCAGGCCCGGATGGGTTTCAACTCCAGGAAGGTGAACGCAGAGATGTGTGCTTCGGGCAACTACACCCATCTCCCCCGCTCTCCTTCCCTGGATCCACTTGAGCCAAAACTGTCGGTCATTTCCACACCTCTTCCTCTCTAGCGGGGCCTTCTCTTATGTCACATTCTTCGTATCCACAGGGGCTTAAGTCTCACACTTGTGTCTGAATGGCAGAAGTGGTTCCTCTCTATACTATAGAACCTATTTTAGGACACGAGTCCTCCTCCAGATGGGGATTACCAGGAATGAAGAGACATCGATTTAGCATCCCCCAAATACTATCTCTATTCCAACTGTTTAGTATATGTGAGACAATGTGCTAAGTCTCTGTGTACACAATTCCATTTAACCTTCACCGTAACCGTAATGGGCTTTGTCCCATTTTACAGATGAGTTAATAAACTCAGAGGTTAGTAGCTTGCCTAAGGCCATTTTTAAGTAGTAACTGGCAGCAGTAGAATCCGAACTCAGGTTGACCTCCAAACCTCTGTTCTTTACCTGATGTTCATTTAGGGAGGCACCAACTTTCCCTTTGTCCTGAGGCTAATAGAAGACCCCATAGAGTCTACAGGCATTTGTTTCAATGGGGAAGGAGGGGTATTGCCTAAGAGATGCGACCATTAGACATATTTTCCTACTTCTTAGGCCCAAGGAGTATGGGGGAAAGGGTGTTGGCAGAAATGGGGTTCACCCACCCGCCTCCCCTTGCCCACTCATCGACCCTGTGTCATGCAGAGTTCCCCCTGCTCCAGACACCCTGTCCCTTCCATCCCTTCAGGTGGTTCCTGCCTGGCCCCCATCTGGGGCTCCTGTGTTTGATATCTTCTGCCGAAATGCTCCTTCGTACACACCCTGTGCTTGGCAGGCTCCTTCACAAACTTCTGATCTCAGCTTACATATGACCTGCTACGTAGACCTTCCCCTGACTTTATCTAAAGATGACTGTCCCTGTTTGTCCCTCTTGCAAGCCTAGGTTTTATTCTTTCATGGCTTTCCCGCACTTTGTCATCGCGTACGTGGTACCCTCCCTGCTCATCGTATGCCTCCTCTAGCCTGCGAGTCCCCAGAGGACAGAGCCACCATCTGTATGGAGCCAGCACCTGGCACATCATAGGTGCTGCCTCAGGTGAATGAAGGTGGTAACTCTGGAACCCCGATACAAGGTTAGGACAAGATTTAGTTCAGATTTTAATGAATAACGACTTTCCCAGCACAGTACCAATGTTGTGGGTGTTTGGGAGGAAACAGTGTTCCTTCATCCAACATTCATTTAGCCCAGAACAGGTAGGAGAGAGGTGGGGGTCGGAATGACTTGGAGACGTGGCCTACCTGATACAATGTGTGACAACAGAAGGGAAGTCGGGCTGACCCTGTGGTTTGAATAAACACCTTGGCCATCACCAGGAAACGCAGGAAACCCCTCCGCACAGCTCAGATTCCCCCCAGGGTGGATATTCACGTGTGAATCCATACGTGTGTGTGTTATTGCCCTTAAACACATATGTACAAAATGGACTTCGCACTCCGAGACCCTCCACTCCTTGGGCGGTAGGAAGTACAATGGGCATGCAGCAGACGTGCAACGTATTTTTTGGAGCCATTTTAAAAAGCAAGCGGAGAGAATGGTCTTGTTTCTGCCAATTATCCAGGATTTGCTCCTTGTCCTTCTTTCCAGCTATTATGTGACAGAGGTGTTTTCGACTCTTTTTGCAACTTGTTCTCATCCTGTCTAAGAAATTTTAGCTGATCAGACTCTTCCTCCCCTTCCTCAAAGCATCCCCGAAAGCTTCAACTCTGGAGGCGATGGGTCGAAAGGAAGAAGACTCCAGCTCCTGGAAGAAACAGACCACCAACATCCGGAAAACCTTCATCTTCATGGAAGTGCTGGGATCGTGAGTGCGGGAGCTGAGAGCTGGCGGGTGGCAGGGCTGCGCGCTGGGGGGACCCGGAAAGAGTTGTTCTGGGCCAGCTGCAGCTGACAAGCTGGGACTGAGGCCCCTGGGAAATCAGCCCAGCACCTCGCAGGCAGGGGGTGGGGTAGGAGAAGTCACCGTGGGGTAGAACGGAGGACGGTTTCATACACTGGGACCCGCAGGGAATACCAGTCCTTTCCCTGGGCTCCGCGTCCTGGCCCACCCCCAGGGATCCCCGCCCTACTTCTAGATCCGGGACAACTTGGCAGGAAAGCGGGATTCTGGAGCACTTGTGGAGTGACCCTAGAACTTTCCTGGGCCTCCTCATCCAGCTTCTTCGTTTCCCCCTGGCAGTGAACAGGTCACCCAACCCCACTGTGTACTGTAGACAGAGGAGAAGGGGCTTCTGGGCCCCAGAGAGTGGATGGGTACACATACTGGAGTCAGCTCCCCATGGAGTCTGCACTGTAGCTTAAGTGCTGTGTTGGAAAAATAAAGTCATGCCGTAGCCCAAACTCCTACCCGCCTCTGGAGTGTCTGTGCCTGCCCTTTGACAGCGATTACACGGCTGGAGGAACAGAGACAGCCTGTCTGGAGCTGACACTCCTCTGCTCAGTCCTGCCTCCCCCCCCCCCCCCCCCCCCCGGGGAGGGTGCAGGCGGTGACGCAGGCTGCCAGGGGCTCCGGGCCACCAGCTCTGTAGCCCCAGGACCCTAGCTGGCCTGCTAATTGGTCTGGGCTAATTGGGCCCCAGGAAGTGAGGGGCAGTTAGTAGGCTGTCCATTCAAGCAAGCTTTCCCTTTAGCCAACTGGGGCTGAGTTTAGTTCCGTGGGCCTTGGCTGGGAGGCTTGACCTCAGGCAATGACAGCTGCCCACACTCTCACTGTAGACGGAGAGGAGCCAGGCCTGGCCGGGACAGGAAGTCCCTGAGCTCTCCCTGCCCAGGCCAGCGTGGGGCTCTGCGCACGCAGGAGGATCTCGGGGGTGGCGCTGGTCATCAGAGCCTTGGCCTTCCATCAAGGACCTTTGCCAAGACGGGGGTGGCTAGAGAGGGGATTTTTGGCAGGAGAGAGGGACGAGACTCATGCATGAATCAGAAATGATTTGCCAAGCATCCCGAAAATCAAGAGAAGGAGGGAGAAGGATGCCCAGGTTGGCAAGGGCTTATTCACTGTTTGCTCAGACTTGTGCTGTGGGTCTGTTAGAAGACGGAACTCAGTGAAGTCGGCCACTGCCGTCCTCAACCTAGGGGGACAGCGGAGTCACCACTTTTTCTTGACTATTTTTTTAAGTTGATTTATTTATTTCGAGAGAGAGAGTAGGTGCTAGAGAGAGCAGGGGAGGGGCAGAGGGAAAGGGAGGGAGAGAATCCCAAGCAGGCTCCACACTCAGCACAGTGCTCGATATCACCATAGTGAGATCATGCCCTGAGCCCAAATCAAGAGTCCGTTGCTCAACTGAGCCAAGGTGTCCCCTTTCCCTCTAACTTTTAGCTGTGAAAATAACTAAATTTTCTGAAAAGTGAAATAATAATACAGTGAGCAACAAATATATGCACCACCTCAATATACACCACAATTCAACAGCTGTTAACACTTCATTATATTTGTTTTACAAACTTTCATCTCTCTCTCTCTCTCTCTCTCTTTCACACACACACACACACACACACACACACACACACACACGCACTGATTTCCCTGGACAATTTGTCAGCAGTTGCATACTTCATGATATGTTACCTTTGAATCCTTCTGTCTGCATCTCCTAAAAATAAAGGCATTTTCATCTGTATCCACAATAGCATTGTGACACTCAAGAAAATCAGTAATAACTTCCCACTATCATTTTAGCATAGGTAAGTTTTGAAAACTACAGACTCCTGGTCCCAGACCTACCGCACTGGGGTCTGCGGAGATAGGACTGAGTAGTCAGGAATCTGTGTTTTAAGTGCTTCTGGTGGCTGTAACATATCCAGCCCCGCACTGATCTGGGGAACTCAGGGGACCAGAGAGGGGGCAAGTCACAGCTGTTGCCGCAGTTGGGGCTGAACAAAAGCTAAAGAGAGGGCACCCCTGAAGTGCCCAGGAGGGGGACAGGCAGCCCCAAGCTGCAGACCCCATGCAGTTACCAAGGTGAGATGCTGAGGGGAAGGGAGGAGTGGGTGGGGCAGACTCCTCTGAACAGGATGTACTGGAATCTTGATGAATGCCTCTTGTCTCTAGCCCTCAGCTCTTCTGGAACAACCCACCAGTAGAGAAGGCTTTTGCTAAATCTGCCCAGAGATCACCCACAATTCCAGGGCCCTAGGGTAGCCTTATGGACGATGGGCAAAGCTAGTCCATAGCAGGGGAAATGTCACCAGGGCCCGGTCCTCCTCCTTTCACTGCCCAGGAAGAGACATCTCCTTGGTCCTCCCCCACTTCCCCCATCAACGAGTCTTCCAGCAAGCAGAGAGAGCTGTTCAGAGCAGGAAACACAGACCAAGTTCTACTGCAGCAAAGTAATCCTGGCTCTGAAGCCTCTGCCCATCTTGCCTTCTGACCCCAGCAACCTGAGCTGCTCAGAACTAGCTCTCTGCTCCCCACTCTGACAGATAGATAGCACAATTAAGTCTTGTAATCCCTCTTCACTGCCCGGCCATACTTACCACACACACACACACACACACACACGCACACACACACACCACACGCACGCGTGCGCGCGCGCGCGCACACACACACACACACACACACACACACACACACAGTGTACAAAGCAGCCTGAGGCAGAAGAGCAGTAACACTGTCTCAAATTGCCACCACACTGCACAACCCTAGGAGGCACCATTTGCATACACTGCAATGTAAATGCCCACCCCCCTCCCCCC